AACCAAAATATAATAAATATCGATAAAATTTATTATATTTTTATGGAGAGTGTAAAATCGAATCGTTTGCATTGCAGTCCTGCAGCAACCCGACTCGACGAGCCCGACGATCTCGGACCTATCGTTCCCTGCGAAACAGGAGACGAACCAAGAATGCAAAGAAGAGGAATCGCAGGATTTCGAGGACGAACAGCAACCAAATGAGACGCAGCCTCACGAGACGGAGCACAAGAAACGTAAAAGACGCGTACTCTTCTCAAAGGCACAGACGTTCGAACTCGAGAGACGGTTTCGTCAACAGAGATACCTTAGCGCACCTGAGAGAGAACACCTAGCTTCCATTATACGCCTGACGCCGACCCAAGTAAAAATTTGGTTCCAAAACCACAGGTACAAAACGAAAAGGGCGGCGTCAGAGCGGGTGGAAGCTAGCGGAAGTGGATGTTCGCCAAGAAGAGTCGCGGTACCGTTATTAATCAAAGACGGAAAACCGTGCCAATCGAAATTGATGGAACCAGCCGCGTATCCGGCCACTAGTCAAGTGCCCATGCCGCCGTACATGCAGAAACCGTACTGGTGGTAAGGGACGAATTATTGAATCATCGGTCATAGTGATTTCCAAGTGGGGTTGTGAAACTTTTTGTGAACGATAAATACAAGTCGTGAATACTTGCCAGTAAGAGATTCGTTTAAAGGTGAAGAGAGAAGACTACGATCATTGCAACTGGGAATTGAAGAGAAAGCCAATGGAAAATACAGAATGGAGTTTGAGAGTTCTTGTTGAGAAAGCCAATGGAAAATACAGAATGGAGTTTTCATCGTTTGTGAACGCGACGATGATAAGTGGAACTTATTTCGTTACCAGTGAACAACTCTGGAAATCCAAAGTGCAAAATTCTTCCTATTTACAATAAGGATCGTACGTAGATATCCTTCTTGTTGTTATTAGAATTAAAACCAAGTATTGCCAATCGAAACTGTCGATAAATAATTGAAAGTGAGAATTGAACTTTTGTGCAAAGTGTCGCTCGAGTGAAATCGATCGGACAGTGTTACGTTTCCTCGATTGCGACGAGGAGAAACCAAAGATATGTAGTTTACAGTTGACGAACGGGGAGTGTAAATAAGAATTATAAATGGAAATGTCCCGATTTGTGTTCACGACAAAATGTCTGCTCACGTATTTTTCCTATAATTCTACGTTATTCGAAATTTATAGAAGAATAGTGAGTAGAAATGTTGACGCGAAGAGAAATTGGTACATGTAGCTTATACAGTTTTCGAGATTCATAGAATCGTATCGAACGAAATTAGGAATTTGGCAAGAAAAAAATGATAGTAAAATAAAATTAGATAAGTGGACGAAATACGTAAGAATCGTTACGTAGATATCGAGCCTGTTCGTTTTATTTTCACGTTATAAAAAAAAAAAAACTATAAGCTCGTATCTGTAACGTGTGTGTCTCTTAAATTCGTACTTAAGGAACGTTCGCGATTCTCGTTGCTCGCAGGACGTTTCGACGTAAGATCCACTGCAAAATCGCACCGAGATCGCTTATGTAACTCGAACACACCACTTCCTATCAATCTAATCGCGATAACGAGATAATGTAAGATAGAGAACAATTTTTTCCCTTCAAGTATCATTCTTTGCACGAAAGAACGAACTTGGCATCTTTACGAAAACGTTAGAATCGATAAATCATTCGATGATTTATTATTAAATAGACAGCCATGTTTCAGTGCAGACGATTGTTTTATAAAACAGAGAAAACTAACATAGACTATAAACTCTTATGCAAAACAAAACATTTATCACAGCCAAAAATAGACATAAGCATTGGAAGGTGCATTCATTTCTATACATTTTCGTAACGTCCCCATTTTCAATTCTTTTATACATAAAAATCCACGATCTAAACTTAAACTGTATAGAGAAAAGATCCCAGATTATACCATCTAATTACGTCGATTGTATATATGTACATTGTGTATAATACATACTAGTCTAATATAACAGATCACGATCTTAGCTTATAAGATCGTGTAACAGATATTTAATAAAATCGAACCCTCGTAAACAACTCGACAGCCTCGTTTTCTTTGCCAACGTCTTCCTGCCTATCCTAATGTAATATACATTCCCAATATCGATATTACGTATTTTGTTGCCAGAGATAAACGATCGAATTAGATAAGAACACGTTAATTGCTATTTCAATTACGCAGATACCGATGATCGAGTCAATAAGCAGAACCTTTTTCTTAGAAACGTAATATCAGCCGATCGATACTTCTCCGCGTTGAAATTCGATATGAATTACGTTTAAAAAGTACGAATAAAAATAGCGAGAATTAAGAATAATATATTTACAACCGAGACAATGTACACTCGAAAACGGATAACTTCCCCTGTTTCGCCGCCCGTTCCTTTTTATTTCTCTCGTCGACTTCCCTTTTTCGGGACACGCCGGAACCCGGCGTAGCTTGAGTGACAAGCTTCCGGTTTCCGTTTCCGAGCAGCCATCTTGTTACCGGTTTAGATTTCCTGAGGGCATCCCGAACTTCGATGGGGAAAACTTTTCATCTTTCCATTTACGACGTAATTACAAACGAATACCACTTGAAATTTGATACAACAGGGAATCGACAGAAAATCGTTCAACTTTTTCCGAATATCAAACACAGAATTAATTGTTTCGTTTTTCTTTATTTATAATCAAAATTTATGAATTCGTCCTTCGAAACGTCGATGTAATTATTTTGTACGGTAGCTGATCGCGATAATTCCGATAGGGAATCGATCGATCTCCGTGATGAAATGACACGCCACCCGATTAGCCACACTGATTGCCAATTGATAATTCCCATACGTGAAAAAAGAGAAACATCGAACGATAACGAGGCCGTGTACATAAATGTAATTTATAAAATTATTTCATCCGTCGATTATCAGAAAATTAATAGATTGATCAAACAATCGTTTAACTCGGTTGTATCGGACGGTTCGAGCAACTATTCGTGTGCAGTAGCAATTGATATCTCCAGTGTCCCTGTTTCCCCTTACCACGAGTTATCTTTCCCGTAACGAGAGAGATGACGTTGCGAGGTAAATGGAGTGGACAGCGGGCAGCATATGCTTTGTGCCTCTGCTCGTACAAAACGTGCGCCACCCCAGGACCGCCACCGCCGCCGCCGCCGCTACGTACGAGGAATATTCCGCGGTGCGACGCGAAACGTCTGTGCGTCGAACCGGAAGCGCGAGATAACATTCAGCAACCGGCCCCGGTCATGATTTATATGACCGGCCGTAATCTATAGAGATTTCGTCCACTGCGAGACTTTCGCTCTGCTCTCCCACTCTCTCACTCTCGTTGCGACCAAGGAAGTGCTCCTAGGTCATCGAGTTCGGTCATGAACGATTAACTTTGCCGCCGGAATTTATGGCCAGTTTAAAGACCTCGGGCTACATATGCCGTTTTATTGATCTAGGTACCTCACACACTTTCTTGCTCAACCGATACACGCTGCCTCGGCTAAAGAAGGCCACCTAAATATTTCTTCTTTTTATGTCATAGACAAGCTTCATAGCATGATTTAAGTGTGAGTTGTAAAATCTCTGGCAAAAGTTTAAGAAACTTGATAAAAAAGTATGACCAATATTTTAACTGAAGCGAGAAGCCTTTAGGAAAAATTAAATTCTTGTTGGCTGATTATTTTTCGATTTTTTTGTGCTCATCACTTGACATCATTAACACTAGATTGCCCAAGGAAGTCACTTTGACTGCTTTTGGGC